TAAATATGTTTTAAAAACATTTATGTAATTTGAACTATCAAGGATACATTTTGATTTGCACACCAAAACATAGTCTAGTGGTGAATGTATATACGACCTGGTAGTAAATTCAGTTTTGAATCCCTCTCTCCAATATTCAAAAAAAAATAAAAATAAAAAAAAAACTTTTTGGTTTAGTTGGCCTTTTCATTTATGTGGAGAGTGTTGAAACATCTAGACCACAAGAGTTCTCACTAATTTGGTGGTGAGTTCTCACTAACTTGTTGAACCTTCCAATGAATTAAAAAAAATATCTTATTTAAACGAATTTAAAATTATTTGATGTTTATATTCAGAAAATACTTGTTTAATATTAGGGCTCACTAATTCAATGCCTTATGATTAATTCCAACAAAAGCCCATTCACATTTTATCGAAAAATCATAATTATCAATTAACCAATTGATGCATCCCACATCACCCGCGGAGTACATCCTGGATTAGTGTATAAGGCTGGGTTCAGTTATTCCTCTATGAGTTAGCTTTTGGGGCGAAGTTAGGGGTCCAATCCCTTATCATTTGATATCAAAGCTCCGACTCCGTAGGGTCGGTGTCTCATGGGGTGCGTCAGAACGCCGACTGAGGCAGTCGAGTCTTATGAGGGTGGAGATGATGCGTCCCACATTGCCTGCAGAGTACATCCTGGGCTAGTGTATAAAATTGAGTTCAGTCCTTCCTTTACGAGCTAGCTTTTGGGGCGAAGTTATGGGTTCAGTCCCTTATCATTGATGATGCATTCCATATCGCTTGTGGAGTACATCCTGGGCTAGTGTATAAAGTTAGGTTTAATCCTTCTTCTACGAGCTAGCTATTGGGGCGAAATTAGGGTCCAATCCCTTATCACCAATTAAATTGGTAGATGGATTTGTTTTTCTCCTTGTAAATAAGACATGGCCGATCTTGAAATTAAAATGTAAAATGAGATGTGTTCCTTTTTGTATTTATTTATAAATTTTCAAGCAGTTTTAATTAAATTGAGGAATTATTAGAACCAAGATTATGTGAAAATTAACTCATAATTAACACTAATTATTTGTAAGAAATGTTAGAAACTTGGAAAAGAAAATGAAGTAATTAAAAAGCAGTCTAAGATGGAGGCTTCTTCCTTTTAAAGAATGGTAAAAAGACATAAAAGAGATAAGTGAAAAGTAGAGGGGAGAATATTAAAATTAAGCTGGATTTAGTTGATCAAAAGAAGAGAGAGAGAGAAAGAGAGATTGCAACTCATCAAACACCACTTTTGCTCTGTAAATAAAAATAATGCATTCATAAAAGCAACAAGAAGCGACAAATTCCCTTCTTATGCTTAAGGATTTTAATTTAAAGTTGTCAAGAGATAATCATCTTTTGGGGATTCTAAAGTAGCAACATCTTTAAGGTTTAAAGAAGAGATGCTTATCTATGTGTTTATATATATATTTTAATTTTAAAAAATAAAATAATGTTGTTCTTACTTTAATTATTCACTTTAATTTATTTTAAAATATTATATAATTTTAATTATTTTGAACCCTTATACCGCAACTTTCCAATGCTTTCCAAAAATGAGAATGTTGGGTTACGAAAATCAAAGAAAGAAAAAGTTATTCTTTTTACAAAACGCATCACAAAGCATGAAAAGTGGTGCTCTCTTTTTATATTTCTTAGGGAAGATTTTGCTTTTCCCTTCTAAAGCACAAAAGTTGCTTCTCCTTTGCACAACTCTTACGTTATGGATCATACCTTAATCTTATCACTCTCTAACACTATTTATTATTATTATTATTATTACTAATTATATTAACTTTCTTTTTTTATTATTAGATTCTAATATTAATCACCTTCACATAATAATAATTATCCTTGTCATAAACACAAAAAGTTTCACATGGTCCCACACGCATAGAGTTTGAGATGGAGCTAGCATGTTGCTATTTGCCTATTGCATAATTATTTTTCTTTTAATTTATTATATCATCTAATAGATAAATACTATTTGTTTTGCAAATTGTCTAAATTTCACAGAGTAAAATTATAGTTCTCAAAATCTTATGGACGGCCAATATTACTATTTTTTTCTAATAAATACTACTTCAAATCTTTTGAGCAGTCTTAGAATAACATCATTTAGTATTTTGTACTAGCTCATGCATGATTTAAGGAAGTCTCTTATCGAAGGTTGTGTCTTTGGAGTATTTCTTTTAGCTTTGTTCTCTTTTTTCTTTTTCTTTTTCTTTTTTTTTTTTTTTCTAATAAAGGAGAAAACTCTCAAATCCTCAGCTTTTGAGAGTTGCTATTAGCCATTTACCTTTGAACCAGGTTACCTGCTGGCTTTGAAAGGACTCCACTTTAATACCAACACTCAATCAAAACTTCCAAGAGATACAGATAAGTACGAGAGTTTGTCTAAGGAGAAACACGTATTCAAATCCTAATAATTTTATTCCCTGTCACATTTTAACTTAAGATCTTCCAGTCAATATTACAAATTTTACATTTATAATTAATTAAGACTAACTAATTATTCTTATTAATGAAATTACAGGGAGATTCTATATGTACAAAATTGATATAAATTTGCATAAAAGGAAAGACTTTTGAAAGTTTGATAGGGTGCTTTGCTAAAAGGACCAAGTAGCCAGTGTAGAACTGAGTGGAAAAGCATATGATTAGATCAGCCAATACACTTGGCTCAAATTGAACTTTATTTTGTTCACACCTCATATGTATAGTAGTTTTACAGGTCATGGTCCTCATCTGAAAGTGAATTTAGACAGTTTGGTGGAGTAGACAGTTGAGGATTCTAAATTCAACCTCTGTTAGAGAAACATGACTCAACATGACAAACAATTATCCTCAAATTTTATTTTTGTTATAAGAAAATGATTGGTTAGATTTTTTTTTTTTTTTTTTTTTTTATTTTTTATTTGTTATACAGAAAGATGAATTGGTTAGAATTTTTTTTTTTATTTTTTTTGTTTAAAAAGCAAAGATTTAAATTAAGAAAGTTGATTGGTGTTGGTGTTTATTTTTTTTTTTTTTTTTTGTTTTAAAAGCAAGATTAAATTAAAAAGTTGATTGTGTTGGTGGAAACTTTAATATCAGTGAGTAATTAACTATTTAGTCCTTGAGAATCATATTCGTGCTCTACTGTAAAATTACTTATTCGTCTTTACGTATAAAATATTATTTTTTTTAGTTAAATATCATGTAGTATTTGATTATTTAGTCATTCACACTTAATATAATCTTATTATTTAAGTCCATCGTGTTCAATATTGAATTATTATTTAGTCCTTCACTTAACGGTAAAGATAATGCTTTTTAGATAGGAGTAAATACCTAAATACAACTAAAATTTAGGACAAATTGGTGATCTTGCCAAACAATAATAATTCAGGGACTAAATAGTTAATTACCTTCAAATATGTAAATTTTAAGTGGTGAAGTTTGAACCCAACTTTACTTTTGCAATGAAAATATGATTTCTAAAATTCAATTGGTTGTTAATTAGTAGTAGGCATTCAATTTTCCTTAATTTGTAATTTTTTCTAATATAAAATTAATTCAACACATGGTCCACACATAAAAGTCTAGCTAGCTATAAGAAGCACATGATTTATAAAGGAAAAAGGTGTTACTGTTGATATTGTCTTATGATTTCTAAATTAATTACATTAATCATGATGTATAACTCAGTAACTAAGTTTGAGAAGCCACTTCATTGACCCATTATATATAATCATGGTGGGATGATTGACTACTCTAATAGGTTGTCCAATACCCTGTCCAAAAATGCAACTTGTGGACATATAAATATATTGTGTGGTAATTGCAGCAGCTTTATTAATCTTCTCACTGACTGTTAATTATGTTAATAATTATTAACACCACAACATAGTTTAAGCGGTAAAAATATCTACGATCTAGAAATAAATTTAAATTCGATTCCCTAACACTGCAAAAAAAAGTATCGGTAGCGATGCGAGGAAATGAAATTTAAATTCGGATTTGCCCCTAATCACCTGCATAAAAAAAAAAATAAAAAAAAAATATAGTACTATATTAAGATATATCTAATTAACTAATCGGATTGCGTTTTTACTAACATTTCATGAAGAATTGTTTAAAAAGAATGGCATTTTGCTTTGCCACCCGTAGGTAGTACAATGCGATGGTGTTGGACGAGTGGACCAAAGCTGAATTAATATAGTAGTATAAAATAGTATCATAAGCTATAGTTAAAAATGTTAAAACTGCATGGAAAATTCTAATTTTCAATTGAAAATTAAATTTTTTTCCTTGAATAAATTCAACAATAAAAAAAAAAAAAAAAAAAAATATATATATATATATATATCTTAATAACTATCGATTGTTTTACTAACATTTCATGAAATGTTAAAAAGAATGGCATTTTGCTTTGCCACCGAATAATATAGTAATATAAATAGTATCATAGCTATAGTTAAAATGTTAAAAACTGCATGAAAAATTATTTTCAATTGAAATTAAATTTTTTCCTTGAATAAATTCAACAATACATTCAATATAAAAAAAATATTTTTAGTTTAAAATTTTTCCCAATGTATATGTTAAATATTGATAAAATTGTTAAAACTATCAGGAAATTGAGAATGAATTATATAGAATTCAAGAATGGTATTTTAATGTTTATTTTCCAAATTTCAGTAGAAATGCATCCTTGTGTGACCAACGTCAAATGGCTGCCTCTATATAAACAGTATATACATATCTACATATATTGTGAGTTAAATGTCGAAAAGGTGAATATCCGCACACTGTCCAATCAAGTAGCTAGAGATTTCTTTTTTTTCATGCACGATTGCACTTGAATCCATGCATAAAATGTTAGAAAAGAAAAATTGACGGACCACCCAATACATATAATCTAAAAAATTGCAATATTAATTAATGAAAACAAATTAAAATGATTCTTGTAAGTTTATGAAGCTAAAAAAGAAAAAGAAAAGTATTACATGAAAGATGATGAACGATAATATACAACATAATTTTACATAAAAGAAGCAACTTGTTTCCCCCCTTCATTTCTAGCCCTAGAAATTAATCCTCTATATATATATATTATATGAAAATCTAAAAATCTAGTTATTAAACAACAAAAATGAAAATTTAAAGGTTAAGGGGAAAAAAAAAAAAAAAAAGAAAGAACAAAAAGAAAAGCACCTAATTATAACTCATGAATCTTGAAAATAATTCTTCGATCAACAGATTCAACAAGACCAATATCATCGATAGACTCATTCTCATAATTACTATCATCATCAATGGAGATATTCAAATCCAATGAAAGGCAAGGGCTTGTTTCTTCCATTGTGATAACACCACTGAAACCTTTCTCTTCTTCTTCTTCTTCTCCTTGAGATCTATCTGTTTTTTGTTTAATAGGAGGAGAACAAGCTCTTGATCTTGAACTAAAGCTTTCACAGCTCAAAATAATAATAGCATCACTCAGACCAATTTCTTCACCATTAGCATTGCTTATCTTTCCTCTTTCAATCGCTCTTTTGAAACCCATTTGCGAACAATAATCAGCTTGCTCTACATCTTCTATTAAGAAAACGCGATGTGGGTTTTTTGACAGTGCTTGAGCAAATCTTTGTATATAACTAAAACTTTGCTCATCTCTTGATCTTTTGTTTCTTGAATCTTCTGTTGAGTCTGCTGTTCTTGTCGATGAAAAACTGCTTAAAGCAATGGACATGAAGTTATTTTGCGATCCAAACACTAATTTCGCTAATTCTTTAGCTATTATCTCTTTAGCTTCCATATCAACTCCTTGAAAAAACAACCAGGTTTCTTCTTTAGGGCTTTCGCGTTTTCTTTTTACCATGCCAGACCTACATTGCAATATCGTGCTCGCAATTTCACGAATTATGTGTTTCTGCCATGGGACCTTCTTCTCCAATGCATTACATATGGTATTTAAGTTGTCTGCATTTAACTCCTTGAACTTGTGTTGATAATTATCCACCTCCATTACATCGCTCGAACAGGTGGAGTTAGGCGTAAGCTCCGGAATGTAAATTCGCAAACTGGGTTCTGAAGAAATGTTGAAATGGCGGTCTCTTTGATATGACTGTTTGGATGACATAACGATTGGAAAGTCATGATGATGGGTTTGGTGCAAATTAGGGTATTGATGTTCGTATGAGAACGCAGAAGTAGAAGAAGAAGGCGATACAGAAGAAAATGTGATGGTTTTATCTGAAGAATAGGGTTGGTGAATTGAATTGCAAAGTGAGTTCCACTTTTTGCAAAGATCTTTGATCGAAACACAATCCTGAAAATATTTATTAAAAACAAAAGACATAATTAATAATTACATTACTGTTAATTATACTAATAATAATAGATTTTAACTTAATAGCACTAATTAAAGTCATTTTCATATGAATATTATTTTTTTTTTTTGAATAATAAATAATTACCTGATCAGTGGAGCCAAGTCTTTTGTTCTCATTCTTATATTGTTGAAGCCATGCAGGAAGGGTAGAAGTTGTAGTAGATTCACTATTACTAGTGCTACTAATTTGTAAGCTTCGAGCCTCAGTCTCAAACTTGGCTGTACAATCAGGACAACAGGAGAGTTGTTTTTCTTCTTCACCTTCAAGTATAATCCAGCAACCATTAGACCCATCTTGGTCTGCTTTCTTGCTGGTGGACTGACTTTGTATGTCACTGAAAAGCCAAAAGTCATAATTAGCCTTTTTACTAAATGACCAATTTGCAAAGAGAAAAAAAAAAAAAAGTTAATAACAAATAGCTATTCTTAATATTTAAGATAGCAAAACTTCAGTTCTCTCTTCCCAATTTTTATAACCAAATGAAAAGCAAAAGGATTTGCTCATTTTATATACTTTTTCTCTTTTATCGCCCCCTCGAATAGGAAGAAAACAAGTATAATTACTTAAATTTTAAGTTTGAAGGGGAAAAGGGGACTAAAGAAGAACTTTATTTCAGCATTTCTTTTCATTTTATTTGTTCACTATAATAGCTTTTATATAAAAATTTAAAAAAAAACCCTGAAAAAAGAATTATGAACAGTGATTCTTTTTCCTTAATTGAGAAGAAAAGAAATTCAAATGCTTTCATACTTACACAAAGAAAGAAAGAAAGAGAGAAAGAAAAGAAGGGTGAAGAAAGAATGGCCTACAATTATATATCCAACTTTACCAATAATAACAGTTTAATTATTATCATTACAATTACCTGTCGGTGATGAGACTTAACCGTAAACTGCCAGCAGGAATTGTAAGAGGATGGAGATTCCAAACAGTCTCAGGTGATGGATAGGTTGAATTGCATTTCATGTATGTTTGGAAGGTTGCAATTCCCATTATCCAAAATTTCCCATTAGTTTCTCCAATTCCACTGCCCAATTTCCCAATCTCCATAATCATATGCTCTATTGGACACAAAAAACTACCTCTAAACTCAACAACCCATTTAAGATCTCCTAAATTTAAGATAACCCCTTTGTTCATATAGCTTCTAACAACACTTTTAAGCTCTTCAAGCTTTTGGTCAACCTCAACCCTCGAAAGTTGACCAAAAGAAGCTATAGGAAATGGTAAAAACTTCACTTCCCTTAAAGACTCAGGCACATCTCCTTTAATAATCTTATCCATAACTCCTTTAACAACACCTTCTATAGTGCTAATACACTCCCCTACAATAACAAAATTTTTTTTCCTTTTCTTCACTAAATTTTCTACAACACTCATGACATCTTCATTTCTGATCGGATCTAAAGATGGTATGATTGGTTTCGAGCCCGATTGATTATTCAAAGGGCTCGGAGTCTGCGAAAGGGCTAAAAGGTTGCTACTTTCTTTGGATTTGGTAATACTTAAAGAAGAATTATTGGATTGAGAACAAATTTCTAAAGAAACAGCTTGTTCAACGTTGCTTTTGACTTGAGTACTAGAAAAACCAGCTTCTCTCATAACTCGACTAACACTGGGATCATCTAAAATAGATATAATAAGTTGCTCAAGCTCTATTTTAACAGCTAACAAAGGTTGTTGCTGGTTTTCAATGGAGCCACGGCGCTGATGAGCCTGAGCTCGCTTAAAAGCAGCAACTAAGGCATTAGAGATTGAAGGGAACTGTTGAGAGTGAGTGGCTAACATGGGAGTGGATGTAGAAGCCGGAAGGCGATTAAGAGCAACATTAAAGCAAAGTTCTAAAGCTTTACATTGAAGAGGGTGAGAGTGAGATTGAAGACAAGCTGTTCTCAATAAACCAGTAGAAGAAGCAAGCATAGTGTTAGCTACGTGGAGAGGAGTGACTTGAGCATGGCCACGCCTCCTTGCTAGGGTTACGGCTTGTTTAACTACAGTTGCGGCTTCTGCTGTTAGAGCTTGTTGTACTGTGCAACCGCCTGCTCTCATTTTATCTAATTGTATAGGGTTTGTGGATTGTATTAAGATGAGAAGAAGTTGAGAAATATAAGGAAGGGGAAGGGGAAGGGGAAGGGATAATGGCTAATGCCTTTCTTGTAGGTGAGGTAAAATTTTGGGGTGCTAAGTAGAATTTGTAGTGGAAAGTGGAATGCATGTGCTGACAAAAGAGAGACGAATTGCGCCAGTATCAAAGGCAATTCAGCTTTTGCCCCTCTCTCTATCTTTCTCTGCTTTCTTATATTATATATATCTCTGGTTTTCTGAAGTGGGTCTCTCTCTTTTATGCAAACCCATTAAACAATATATATATTTATAATACCTAAAGTAATTGTGGAAGGATTTTATCTCAACAATAACTCGGTCCGGGTTTACAAATTAATCCCATTTATATAAACGAGTGGGAATATTTTTATTGGAATAGTATGGTAATCCTAATTTATAGTTAATCTCATTTATATAAACCAGTAAGAAGATTTTATTTGAATACTATTACATCTAAGCATAAATTAATTCTATTCATATAAACCAATGAAAATATTATGCTATTCAAATAAAATAATAATAATAATAATAATACTTTATAGTGCACCTCAAATTCTTATCATAATGATCAGTTTTTTTTTTTTAACCATTCGATATTCAAAATTCATTATTTTGATTTATTAGTACTAAATATATCTAATGATAGGGTAAAATTTTCTCTCCCAAATATTTAAAGAAATTTTATATACAAGACACAAACAAGGGAAAAATGATTTATACCATTCAATTTCACTCTTCAGGGTTCAATTTCTTTCGTCTAACCCTGGTTTGGAATGACAAGAATAGGCAAAATGGAAATTTGGCAATGATTTTAATTAGATTGAAAGGTAAATGGAATATTATATAGTAAAATTTATAAATTTGAGAAATATGAAATATCTTTTTCAGGTGCATCCTCCAAAGTGGAGAGAGAGCCTCTGAAATGAAAAGAGAATTGGGGACTATATGTCTCGAGGAATCGGGAACTGTGTACGATTTTCTTCCGGACTCTAAGACAGGGAATAAAGGCTTTCCATTTCCTTTTTTTTATTGGATTATATATATATATATATATACTATATATATATATCAAACTTATTGACATATATATATATATATATATATTACAAAACTTATTGACTCTTTTAAATATTCATATAACATATATATATACACACATATTGCATGGGGATTAATAACCCACAAAACATTTTTTTTTTCTCACTCCATTATTTCATAAAGTGGGAGCTTTGGACCCTCTCTATCTGGCTCTTTTTTCTTTCTTTTTTAAATTCTTTTATTTCCCTTCAAAAAATTAGCAAACAAATCATCAATTGAAAACATAAGTGATAACGAACTCCCGATGTTTGATTGATTAGTTTTTCCCTTTTTATTTTCTTTTATTAGGAGATTTGATGGGTTTAAAGTTTAGAATATACAATTTGCTAGTTCTCTTTACTGTGATTTAATATGTTTAATCGTTCAATTTTTTATTGTATTGAAAGTTATTATAAGTCATTTTTTTTATCTATTTTACGAAGACTCTTTTTAGTAAAATTAATTATTTTAATAGTTGTTAATAATTTTATTAGCATTTCATTAGATGTTAAGGAATTTGTCATAATTAATCCACATCCTCGGTATTATAAATACTATTTTACCGAACACTATAAATAATCAAGTCAGTGTTTTTTACTAAAACTTTAAAAGTTGTTACTCAACATGGTTTAAATCTATTTTTCTAGCCAATTTAGAGAATATAGACCAAATTTATAGATAAAAAATGGATTAATAAAAAAATTAAAAAAAGTTTTCTTTTTTTAAATTTTCTAAAAGGCCCCATGCCAAAAATACTTTTCTTATATTTTATTTTCATGTCAAAAATAAAAATCTTGTGAATAATTTATACGTTACAACTAACATTGCGGTTGGATTACCAAAAGTGACCATATCTCTTGATAAATTTTACCTACAAGGTAACTATTTTTTTTTCTAGATTTGGATATCTTTTCACGTTATACATATATTATATTTGTGCAATCCCAATCTTTCATATTTTAGAATCAAATTTAGATTTTTTTTTTATTATGAATTATAAACTCTTGGCAATGCTATTTCCACACCATAATATTATTCTTCTCAGCTCAAATTTGGATTTTGGAGAAACATATTTAATGGAGGGATCACATTTTTGTTTAAGAAAAATTTGCAGCATTAACTTGCCCTCAAAACGATAAAATCTCGTACTATCTCCATTCTATAATATTTGTCATATTTGAAAAAATAATTTGTTTCAAAATACTAGTCACATTTATGGTTTCAACGAGTAATAAATTTTTTTTTTCATATTTACTCTTTATATACGATCAATAATTATTACTTCAATTTAATGATTTTTTAGAGAAATAGTATTAAATAAGGGTAATATAATCAATTTACTCATAATTTATTATAATTTAGGTAAATTTAATTATTTTTTTAAGGAATGTGAAATTCTAAATAGAATAAGTGTTATGGATTAGAGGTAGTATTCAAATGGAAGAACATGCCATTCATGCCACTTTATATGTTGAAAAGCAACTAGTAATGGGCTTAAAAGAAAGAAAAAGACAATTAATAAATTTTAAATTTATGTTTATCAAAATCTTAAACGACAAGACCCTCTTTTTCCTTGGGTTCCATATATTCTTCTTTACTTCCGTTCCATATTTCCGTAGAACAAAGTAACTTGTACAATCACTACTGAATTTAATAACTATTGGAAATAATAATCTATACCACATACTTTATAATAGTATGTTATTCATAACGTCTTCGCGTTGCTGTTAAATATTTAGATAATACAAAAAGATAATTTCTTATAGTGCTTACAACTTGACTAGTACCGTATAGCTTAATGGTTGAGTATTTATCTCATAATATAATATCAAGCATGGATTAGAGTTCAAATTCCATTATATGGTCTTATTTTTATCAATATGGTCCAGAAAATATTTAATATAACCGAGAGCTAAATCTGTAATATCTCATATCTAACAAGATATTATCCAATTTAAATTTAGTGTACATGATTTTGTTTTTAAGAGTGATGATCCATCATTCTTACAAGTCTAAGGCTTGTTCATCTTTATGCACATTACTTCCGTCTTATGCTTAACTAATGTGAGATTCGCTTAGAGTGTGACAAAATCCTGAACTGATAGGCTCCCCAGTTACAGTACTCACATAATCTTACGGAAGTAGGCTTTTTAAGTTGTTGTTGAGTTATAGGGAAGAGGAGGAGATGGGTATGTTGAATTTTCTCTGTTAGGTCGCTAGTCTTATATTCCCTAGCGTGCCTTTGCATAGAAAGGAGAGCTACACTAATTCTACTTATACCTTATCATCTACGTGTTTTAAGATAAATAAATTAATTGTAATTAATTTCCTTACACAGCAAACGAGAGATCTCCCTTTCATCCCTCAATCATCTTCCACTTTTACCTATTTCATACAAAGACTCGTTCAAATATCAGAGTTTACTGCTAAACATATAAAGTGCAAGTCACAAAAAAAAAAAAAAAAAAAAAAAAAAAGCTAAACATATAAGTGGCAAGTCAAAAAAAAAAAAAAAAAAAAAAAAAGTATAATTTGTTTATTAATTAAACATTAATAACCTACTAAATTAATGATTAATTATAAATTATTTTATTAATAAAAAAAAAAAAAAAAAAAAAAAAAAAGTAGTAATTGTTATTATTAAACATTAATAATACTAATTAATGATTAATTATAATTATTGTTATTATTATCAAGAAAGAAAGTATATCACTTATTTAATTTCTTTTGAAGGGAATTTACCCCAAGAAAATAGCATTTGAACATGACATGACATGACATGAAAGAACAAGAGGATTGTCATCGTTGGGAATGTTTCAATTTCCACTGCCTTTGTGTATGTGCCTTCTTTTACATATATATTTTTGTCATTTTTTAGTTATTTTTTTTTCTTTCGCTTTCTTTTTATCCCCTTTCTTTTGGGTCTAATTCAAATTTTCGAACAAAAATGATAAAAAGCTACTCATTTTAACCATATATATGAAGATCTTAAAGACTTTGTTTATTCAATAAAGTGAGAGTCTTCTTTCATATTGTTACTTCATCAACAAAAATTCTCAATTCTTTTTTCTTTTTGTGCATTAGATTTCAAAATGAAAATTCAATCGCCAATAAAAAGAATATTATTAAATATGAGAGGAACAATCAAAATTTGAACTTAATCGACACTCGCATGCGAGACAAGTACCCAATTATTGAATTACTAGATCAATCACCATCTAATATTTTCATTACAAATTCTTTAATATCGCTAATTTTCAATGGATACAAACCCTAAATTTTGCAATATGAATGAAAATGGGATATATATATAAAAATATGAGTAGGACCCGAACCAGTCCTTTGGTAATTAACAACAAATAATCCAAAAACTCCTAAAGTAGCACTGTTTATTCTTTCTCAGTGACCAAATGCCAGTCAAAAAGGTTATATCTTTGTTGGCCTAAAAAGACATACAAAGCGCACCCAAATTATTTGAACAAACAAAGCAAATTCTGCAAAATGCCACAAAAGGAGTGTTTGAATGAAAGAGAGGAATATATATACTTGCTTAGGACACACCCTACCTAAGTCCTTCCCCTAGGCCCATACCCCCTCTCCTCTCTTTCTTTTCTTTTTCTCAACAATAACGGTTAACTTTGTTTTAAATAAAGAAAATAACTGTAACAAAAGCTATTCCTAACTGTTACTTGCTTAACATATATAATATAATATAAAAACTAGTGGGTTACTTTCCTCTTTTATCTTATTAATTAACTGGGATACCAATACTTGAGATATAGTATCTAAATACACAAACTCTATAAGTTTTAATTTGTGAAGAAAATTATTATTATTATAAAATAGATAAGTCAGTCTTTAAAAAATTTAATATTTTCTAATCCAAACTTATTCATCAACAAGTATAATCAAAATTGTTAAAAAACAAAAAATTATATGTAAATGAATTTTCATACAAAAACAAATTCTACTGTTCCAGACTTAATTAATTTTGACCTAATTGGATTCAGGGCTCGGAAGGGGAGAGTAAAATATACTTTTTTTTTTTAGGAATTTGAGGAGGACGTGACTAATTTCTTAAACAGTAACACTATTTTTTTTTCTCACTCGAGAAAATATTTTTGTTAATTTGAGGTAGTTACACTTCCCAATCCATCCTTGTCAGACTTATTTGTAAGCAAAGCCAGATTCTGGGCCTTAAGAACTAACAAATTTGACATTTTTAAAGCCAAATCGAACCTAGGACAAGTATGATTCAGACTATTACAAAACAAATATATATCCGAAGAGAAAGAATTGTATCAAAGTGAAAGTTAGGTGAAAGTCAGGATTATTAAGTAGTATATCTTTTCTCTTCTTTCACCATCACAGCCTTTAATTTATTTTTGGTGGAAACACATTGCATAACAGTATTAGAGAAGAGAGATGAGAATGTGTGCATATAAAATATAAAATACGGTCTTACAAAGAATAGTACTGATGGGTTTTTTTTTTTTTTCCTCTTTTGGTTAAAGTAAAGCAAGTAGTCTCTCATAAAAGCAATATTAAAAGTAAAATATGGCATTATCTACTCAAAAGTGACGTTCATTTTATGCTTTTAAGCTTCAAATAAGCATCTCTGGTCTATTATACGTGGCCATGTGGTTGAAAGCAATATCGAAGAGAGAGGGAATAGTTTTTAATAGTTAAGAGTTTTGGGCTGGGCGGCAGAGCCTTTAAAGGTTTTCATGGAGATAAAAGTTGCTCTAATTTTGACATGACAGCCTTGTTTATCGTAAAGGTGATGGAATTACGTACCACTCACTCCTTTTCCCAAAAGCTTGCATTTTTTTATTTTTAATTATTATGCCTAATTGTTGCTATTTTATCTTCTCTCATATCTTATTATAACACTTTATGTGGGTTTTATTTAATATTTTCATACTTAATCTTTAATTAATTATATAATAGAAGTATCTCTCTCTATATATATAATCGTACTGTTGGTTGCATAGTTATATACGTGTTATTGATTTACAGAATTTCAACTCTAGTTAATGTGAAGTGGAGAAAACTAATGCATAGTAATTGTTAATTAGGAACATAGTCTAGGGCCAATGAGATGGCAATTCATTGTTGTCCGAGCCATTTATGGTTTTGGAGCCTAGTCCAATTGAGCGTCTTGAATATTTTAAAATCTCCCTAACAGGACTTTCTTTAATTAAAGATGGGGAGAATGCTGATTTTCTTTAGAAATTATTTAGTATATATATGAATTTCATGAAATTTATTTGGGACAATTTTATCAATAATTGTTTTGGTGTCCATTGGCTTACTTGTTAATTAGGTGCAAAAACTTGTGTTTTTGTAGCTCTGTGACAAAATAAATAAAAGAGCAAACCAATAACCAGTCAAAACCCAGATCTAACTAACACGAGTCATCTTGCAATAATTGGACACTGTTAATTGGTCAACAAACACAGTTCACTGCATGATCAGTCAGTCTGTCTAAGGAACATTTCATACACACACACACAGAACAGAGGGCTTACCAATAATTTAGCCAAACCCTAACCTAAAATTTCTACTTTGCAATTGTACATTTGTCCTTGCTCTAGCCAAACCCAAAATTTCTAGCACTGCAGTTGTGCACTTGTGATTGCTTTCACTAAAGCAACCAGCCACTAGTATGGTTTTGTACGAGTTAGTTCGACAAAATTAGCTATTTTAATAGCTGTTAACTGTTTTAGTAGCGTTTAGCTTTTAACTGTTTTAGTAAGTCTTTATAAAACGCTAAAAATTATAAAACACTTCTTTTAACTTCTAAAAGCTAGTTTAAATACTATATTACCAAACACTATAAAAAATAGCATTTAGCATGTTAACTTAAAAAGTTGCTGCCAAACACAGCCTATATTAAACAAATAGGCTTGTCCTCTCCAGTTTTGCAGTTCTATTTCTTGTCTTTCAATTATCTACTCTCTGCTCATTCATATGGAAAGATGCTAAAATCATTTCACCTCTGAAATAGCACCTTTAACTGTTAGTTTAACAAAAAGCACACGTTTTTCTTGCTAACCAAAAGTTACCGTAATATCAAAAAGTAAAATCGTACAATGTCAATAATAAAGATAGAGAAGCTATAGTATGACAAGAAGACAAGAACTTACATGTGACTGTGCATTCACAGGCTTAGCTTGGTAATAGAGCATCTCTCATTTGGAAACAGACTCAACTTACATGTCAAATATGATGAAATAGACATAAAAAACGCATTTGAACTACAAATATCAAAGAGAAATTTTTGCCAGGAAAACATGAATGATTGAGAGGACTAGAAAGACAAATGCAATTAAATTGTTTGATATGAATCCACTTTCAAATGGTGACAGAAATTACGTTTTGTTTATACTCGTTTCTATTAAATGTTCAAAACTCAAATAAACTTGCTTTGCAGTTGATCGTTACACATTTCAAACGTAATACATAACAGAACAACAACATCAGTATCACAATGGTATATTATCACTATGCCTAGAATGCAGAGATTTCCTGTCTATGTTACATGAACAAAATTTTCAAAGAAAAAGAGACTGAAAGAAGAACTCAACAGAGAGAGAGAAGAGAGGGATTAGTTTACCTACCTACTAAGTCTTGCTTTAGAGTTTTCCTCATCTGATTGCTCTTCAAGTAGTGAAGCAAGTGCGTTCCTGATAGCAGTTCTCTGCTTATTAGTTTCCTCCAGTATGGCAAAGCGAGCAGCCTCACAAGCTTTTGCATTTGGAAAACCTAGAGTCCATCTCCCATCTACAGCATGGTTGGAGCCTTTTGAGTTGTAGCCTCTGGTTTTACTTCCTTTTAATCCTGGGGCAAAGTCTCTTATCCTCAGATGCAACCATGTGGGATGATCCTCTTCCATCTTCGGCTGTTTCAAGTGGAAAAAGAAAATGTTAGAAGAGTATTATTATCTCTTGCAACATCCTTCTGATATTTAAGCAAAGATAAGCAAGCAGAGTAGTTACACGTCTCAAGCTTACTACTTTGTACTAAGATTCCCACTATGAGAACATTTAATGGCAGTTCCCATTATGTAATAATGAATGTTTTGTAGTCAATTACAGAACTCCTTGGGGAGATCTGCTGTGTTATGGTCGTACCTTTGTTAAAATTAAATAATATCAATTTCTTATCTCCAATATCACCCATTTACAACACGAATATATTCATTCATCTTTGTGCAATGATCTTCCCTTAAGCACCATTATCATATGATATAATACAGGTTATGGAGTCGAAACAGAAAAATGTCCGGATATGGAAATTTATGGAATGTTTGGGCTTTTAGTTAAAATGAAGGCTAAAATACTTCCTAAATTATATAAAATGCATTTGAGCTGGTTTAGAGTTCCTTTTGAGCCTATATTTATACATGAGAAATTTTATGGGGTAATGACATCATTAGACCCGTTTTGGCAATTTTGAAGTTTTTGGACTTTTAGCTCAAAATTCATTTTGGGGCCCATATATTTGGATTGGACAGCCCATTTAGGCTTATTTTGGATCACTAGAACTTGAAGAGACAAGAAGGTAGAAGATGAAGAGTCAAGAGAGTTATGGAAGTTGAGAGCTATTCACTTTATGGCTTTAATTATTGTTTTAATTTTTATTTACTTACTTTGTATACCCCTACTCTATTTAAAGGGATTAGCTTTCTTTGTTTTGAGATTCAAGAGAGTTATGGAAGTTGAGAGCTATTCACTTTATGGCTTTAATTATTGTTTTAATTTTTATTTACTTACTTTGTATACCCCTACTCTATTTAAAGGGATTAGCTTTCTTTGTTTTGAGATATTGAATTTTGGATAATTTCAATTTAATGAAAGTGAGGTTTATGCCTTCTTTTATCTTTATGCATAAGGTGTTGTGTGGATTGTAATTGATTTGTTCAATTGCTATTCAGATTCAACTCCTATTTCTTATGTTTTTGAACATCTAATTCGAATTGGGTTTAAAGGGGATATTCTGAAATTTTCTCTTTTAAGTTCTTTTGAGTTGAATTCTTAGGGATAAGAACAAATCAAAATCATGATTGCTTGATGGTTAATTTTACTGGTTCAAATTGATGGAGAGTTCTAAGTTCCATGCTGATCTTGGGATTCTGTATCATTTGATATCAGAGCATTGATTTGCCAAGTAATTTTTCTAATCTTTATCTACTATTAATATAGCTTATTAACTGTTCTTTGTGTTCTTGAACTGTTTAAAACTAATTTGAATTCAAAAAAACTCAGATTTAATTTAATTAGCTCATCTTGCACAAATCTGCTTATCTCTTCGTTTTAGTTTGTATAACTTAGGGAAATCCATTCCTAAATTGTACAAACACATCTGCATTAGTATAATTATAAAAGAAAAAAGAAATAATATATAAAAAAGAAATAATATATATATATATAGTAATATATATATATATATATATATATATATATATAGTGAATAGTTCTGCCCAATATTATATTTCTACCCATTTTACAGATTTGTGGTTCTAGACATATTGTGCATGCATAAAACTGAGTTGAGGTTGTTTTTTTTCACTTGATTATCATCAAATATCATCAAGAAGAAAAAAAAAACTGAAACAACAAGGGAAACCCGAAAGACTCACTTCAATTGAGTTGGGAATCATTCAAAACCCTATCTTTTTCATTAATTGACCGTTTTGTGTGATAATTTGAGATTCTATTATAGAATTTCAAATTTCTTTCATCAATTTCCAGATTTGTCATTCACTTGCATCCATTAGTTTTTTTTTTTTTTTTTTTTTTTTTTTTCTATTTGGGAATTTCAAATTTCTTTTCTCAATTTCCAGATTTTGTTATTTACTTGCATCCATTAGTTTTCTTTTCTTGTATCTGCCATATTGCATCTAATTACATCATCAAGCATCAAATTTGATTCTTTGCTATCTATTTGAACAAAAATCAAACATATGCTTCTTTTCCTTCAAGTGTGTGTTGTTCGTTTGTTTGCTGAAGTTTTATTTGCTTCCAGTGTTTGAGTGTTAGAATTTCCTTGTAGATTCTAAATTGAAATTGAATGCATTTTGATACAATGATTGCTATTTGAATTAAACCTTCTGTTTAAAGACGCAAAGAGAGCTTGAGCGGTAAAAGGCAAGAGTGTGTTAGCTTAAAGGAGGGTAAAAGCCAAGGTTTTGAGTGAAACACAAGTGTCCATATTACGAGAGCAAACATGTAAGGGAGTATTTTGTGAGGAGTGAAAATCTGTTTTTTTTTTTTTTTTTGTTAAATTTCAAAATTGTTGTTAAATTTCAAAAAAAAAAAAAAGACGAAAGAGAAAAGGAAGTCAAAAGAAACAATATGGATTTCATGACAATCATGCTACAAGGATTTGAAAGTCTAAATGTGCAACTTGATGGTATCAACAGCAAACTAGACAATCAGATTATGCAAATCAAGAAGTTAAAAGGACAAGCTACTCATCAGGATACATTTGAAGATAATATGAAGGGAATCATGAAATTTAATTTTGAATTTTCCATTTATTGTAATATGTATCTTGAAAACTCGCAAATAGTGGAATGTGAGTCGGGAGTAGGTGAGAAAATTGAAATCGCTACTAATATTGATGATTGTGCATCCACGGATAAATCATTTACCAAACCTCAATAATTCGTGGACGAATCATATTGAAGAGGGAGGGAAGGATACAATACAGGTTATGGAGGCAAAATGAGTCAAAACGAGAAAATGTCCGGGTATGAAAATTTATAAAATGTTTGGGCTTTTAGTTAAAATATGGGCTAAAATACTTCCTAAATTATTTAAAATGCATTTGAGCTGGTTTAGAGTTCCTTTTAGGCCTATATTTATATATGGGAAATTTTATAGAGTAATGACATCATTAGACCCGTTTTGGCAATTTTGAAGTTTTTGGGCTTTTAGCTCAAAACTCATTTTGGGGGCCATATATTTGGATTGGACAACCTATTTAGGCTTATTTTGGATCATTAAAACTTGAAGAGACAAGAAGGTAGAAGATGAAGAGTCAAGAGAGTTATGAAAGTTGAGAGCTATCCACTTTATGGCTTTAATTATTGTTTTAATTTTTATTTAAATTTTTATTTACTTTACTTTGTACACCCCTACTCTATTATAAAGGGAATTAGCTTTCTTTGTTTAGAAGATTTTGAATTTGGGATAATTCAGATTTGGATAATTTCAGATTAATGAAAGTGAGATTTTTGCCTTCTTTATCTTTATGCATAAGGTGTTGTTTGAAATGTAATTGATTTATTCAACTGCTATTCAGATTCAATTCTTATTTCTTATGTTTTTTAAAATCTAATTTGAATTGGATTTAAAGGGGATATTCTGGGATTTTCTCTTTAAGTTCTTTTGAATTGAGTTCTTAGGTATAAGAACAAATCAAAATCATGATTGCATGGTAGTTAGTTTTGCTAGTTCAAATAGATAGAGAGTTCTAAAGTTCTATGCTGATCTTGGGGTTCCATCTAATCAATTATATATCCTGCTTTTAACTGCACTAGTAAAGTCTTCCAATTATTGTCCTTGAAACGATACATGTGTACCACTACAATTTCTCTTCAACCAAGTGGAATGGAAAACTTACATAAACACCAATGGATAATGCCAGTAGAGGATAAGAAAGCATGAGGCAAGATATTGGCTGCTAGCATTACATTTTGAAATCTAAATGGACAGATTTTAGTGAAGAAGATATCAAATTCTATCATTGTCTTGTATCAGGATGAATATGAAAACAAACAGAAAATTTTTAAATCATGTAATAGGATCACCAATCAATGGAGCGCCTAAACTTCTACTTCCTAGTATTCATGTGCAAACTACAACATGACTTAAGATTCACCTTCTTTCGGGTTCCATCAAGTTCTCAATATCCATTATCTCCATCAATGCAATAGAGCAAATATTTCTAGAACTTCACTAATGCAGGTGTATTATCCCAGTATAGGATATTGTAGTTCTATTGTGCTCATTGGCCTCGATTTTTCTCCCTGTATTTCTCTGAAACTTGTGTTACTGCAGTTACTCCAGATTCCCCAATAATATTCTCTCATATACGGCAGCATGAATTAGCTGTACCATTCTTTTCTTTATGATTTTCTGAATGCAGATCCATCCATCATTTTTATAGTACTATCTCAAGGAGATAGCTCTTACCTCTTCACTTCCTAGTCATGGTTCAAGATATATTTATACCTATGAGGTTTTCACAACTACTTTTCTAAATATTGTATTTCCTTTTTTTTTTTTTTTTTTTTCCTTTTTTTGGTTTTTTTTGTTTGGGGGGGGGGGGGGCTGCGAAAAAAGACGGAATGTATTATCTTCCTGATCTTGCATTGCACTTTCTCACAATCCCTGCAAATTGTCCAAAGTGGGTCATTTCTCCTGTCTACCATACAAGAGATCCATTTATCAGATTTTTTTGAGTAACTGGCAACAAGTACATGACCTTTAACCTAGTTCTTACTAGGTCCTATATGATACTGTATTTTCCACTGGGGGGGGGGGGGGGCGCGAAAAGAAAATGTTCATATCTTCCTGATCCTTGCATTGCACTTCTCACTAATCCCTGCAAATTGTCAAAGTGGGTCATTTCTCCTGTCTACCATACTAAGAGATCCATTATCAGATTTTTTTGAGTACTGGCACAGTACATGACTTTACCTAGTTCTACTAGTCTATATGATACTGTATTTTCACTGGGTACACATATTTGACGCTTTTCTAAATCCTGGTATTGCATGTTAGAATGGTATCACTCATCCATTTGCCTCATCAATAAAATTTACTTGAATAAGCATCTTATAAGGCCAACCATGATTGGCTGTTGATTAATGATTGGACTACTCAGATGTAATCAGCACATCTCCGCATTGGTTCAAAGATATCATTAAAATTTTGCCCTCCAAAAGCTCAAAGTTTAACAAATCAAGACTTACACTTAATGCTGCTAATGGAGCAATGGCAATTACAACTCCCCGTTGGCTGCGGAAGGGATGTTTTTCTACAAGAAGCAATTTCCCAGATGTTCCTCTTGCCGCAGGTATCATGTAAATATCCCTGACTCCAGCATTTGAAAAGGCAATCCTGCAAGGGATCCCAGATTCTGCAAATATTTGCAAATCAAAGAATGACATTTTGTTATTTGAGCAAAAGAGTAGGATTAAAGTTTTAATGATGCCCAACCTAAGGAAATCTCTGACCCAAAGCTTGCAGATGAAAGATCTGAAACATGGGTTCTTCCAGAATCAACAGAAGGACTGCTCAGAGGAGCTAGCAAGGGGTTTTCAGGTAACTCTCCTTTGCTAATAAAAGCCTTCAACTGAAGATGGAGTATGAAAACCTACACGTACTAACTATGAGTTCCATATTCCAAAAAAACCTTAATTTGTAATGAACAATGTTACAGAGAAATAACAACTGCATAAAGATGCTCAGAGAAATCTCATTATGCAGTCAAGACGCAAACAAAAAATAAATATTAAAAAAGCAGGAGGCATTAGCTGTATAGGACAGCATATCACATGAGATGTGGTCAAGAGTAGACAAATGCATAACCAGACCAAAATAAAATACTAGCTTGGACATCTAGATTAAAAGCAGACCAAAAACTTGCAGAACACTGGCCAGGAGTGTTGGGTGTGAACTTGATTGGGATGTACAAAGAAAGCATCCTATCAAAATTGTTAAAGCCTTTTGCCAGAATAAAATGATACAAACCTTCACTATGTCGACCATTCTCTGCCAAGAACTATAAGAAGATGTTTCATTGCCTGCAAGTTATAAATGATGTTAGTTACTTCTGAAAGAATGGGAAAGGTGCAGGGTCATGTGCCATTATATCAGTAATTTGCAGCTTGTGAAGAAAAACGTATACAAGATTAGCCTGAAAACATGTCGTACCATCAGTGATTTGCAAGCAAACAGCAAGCTCGAGAAGGAAAAAAGGATCTTTGGATTGAGATGGTTTCTCAAGAGCTGTACATAAAATCATAGTAGATGAAATGAGCCTAGAAAACTTGTTGTACACTGAGTACTCAATAGGGAATTATTCCATCTTTCCTATCTCCATTTGGAGACTATATAGAATACAAAAAGGTTGCCACATCCTAAGTGAAAACTACAACCTAGGACATTCAGCTCTAGGCAATGGATTATACCTGTTTTACAGTTATTCCATTCATTTCTCAAAGTGTCCAGGATATGATCAAACCAGCATCCATCAAGTTCTTTCTGGAAGCGGTCACAGGACTGCTCATATGAGGTCTGCCAATGAGAACTAGAAAATATAAACCTTTAGAAAGTTTGGGAAATAAGTCAGGTTCTGCGTCAATAAGCAATCATAGCAACATATATTGATTTTCTCTGCTTCTTAGTGTGCAAGATTAGATCTCATAATGGAGTTAAAGCAATGCAACATGTAGTTCTAGTTCATGATGCATAATTTTGAGTTGGTCTATAAAAGAATATAGTAAAAATATTTATAAAAAAAACTCAGAAAACCATCTCACTTTCCAGTGGAAAAAAACACGTAGACAATAATTTGGTTCACGACCAGAGGTCCTTCATCAATTTGCTGGATTGGTGGCCAAGGTTGGTGGGCTTCTCAATAAAATAAATTTTGCTTCCTATTGCACCTTTAGTATCAGCATTCTCATTCAAAATTCATTTGCTTCAGATCCACAGAACAGCAATTTTCTTTTGCTTCATTGTTGAATGCATAGCTATAATGAATTCTAATTTGAGACTGTATCAATACCATAAATAGAAATGTTACAACTGTAATTATGCTCCTCCAGTCTCCAACCATTGGTTTAATCTCACTCTCTAACCAACTTAAAAAAAAAAAAAAAACAGCAAATGGAAAAATAGCCAATAAGGCCAAAAACATGCACTGGATATGTTGCTTAAACACAAAATTTGGTCTCAATAATTTTGATGATCGAGCAATAAAATCAGTGGTAGAAACTGCATTGCATGTCATAACTTTCCGAGAGCTCAGGATGTGCAGTCACATTTAATCTTCCTAAAAAAAAACTATGAGATACTGCAAAGAAATTTTGAATGCTAAAAAACCTGTTGGAAGTTTTGCCCAGGTGTCGAAAGCAGAAAGTAATAGTTTTATGCAAAGTTCCACCAAATCTAACCAGTCAAAAGCAAGAAACACCATCTATTTTACTCTAGCAAAAATAATCTGAATATGCAGGCCAACATTAAATATGTATGTCTATATTAATAGAGATTGTCATAGATCAGCTGAATCCTTACATTAAACATCAGCAAATTATGAGGATCAAGGCTCTTTCCCTGGGAAACTAGCAGCTTGTAAAAAAGCCACCCTGAATGCCATTGTATTTGTACAGAGGTTGGTGGTACAGTAGCTAAAACCTTCAATAATGCATTTAAAATCTGTAACATACATATTAAGAAGGTCATGATAGCGAAAGCTACATAAAACCAAGTCACAAAGTTAATGGGTCAGCTAAAGCAAGAGCTTAACGTATTCCTATGGAGGCCATAGGAAGTAGTATGGGAACCATCCTATAACTAGCACACCATAAAAAATCCATGCAAAAGGAAAGGGAACAATTAGCAGACAGTACCTGTGGCACAAACTTTGCAAGGATACTTCCATCAACTACCTGTGAAGCTGAGATGTCCTGATTCTGGAAATGAATTGTCAGTAATATTAGACTCAAAACCTGGGACAAACATAGAAGAATTAAAGAGAAAGAAGACCCTCCTATTAAATAAAAATTTATTAGTTCATCATGGCATCTCTCAACTCAATGATTGATCATTGACAATGGTAAGTTGATCACAAGCTAGTCTTCCAGGTATTAGCAGATAAACAGCTTAACCTTAAACTAACAATTTTCAAGAAATGCACAAAGGATTATATTGTAACTGGACATCAGACTGCAGATACAAAGCCCAGGTAAAGGAGAAGGACCATTTTAGGTTATGGTGATGCTAACATTCCCTTCGAATTAAAAAGAGGGGAAAGCTGTTTGAAACTGAAAGTATAATTTTTTTCCTAACAGCCAATGTGTAAGGTGAAAGAAGATTCTTGCAAGACAAAAAGGACAGTTTGTTAAGTTTAATTTGAAAATATTATTAAAATACTAATCATTTGTTTGGATGAAGGGAGGAAGGGATCATTAAAGTAAGATATAGTAAAGGAAAGTATGGTAAATGTTTTTTTGTATTTGTGGAGAAGGTATGGTAAATGAAAGTTTAATAATATTGTTTTATTTGATTTGATGGTACAGGAAGGTAATGTTAAATATAAAGATTATGAAAATACCCTTATCATGGAAGATTATAAATATATCTATGGATAATTTTGGAAATCAAATTTTTTAACCATGCTTACGCTCCAATTCAGCGTTGAAGATTGAGGTGCTTAGATGGGTTCCGAACCCCTCAAATAACTTTCAGAAAAACCATCCTCTCCCTCGAACCCTCTTCCCAAACGACTAAATAATCTCCCTTTACCTTATCTTACTCTCCAAACCCACCAAATAACCTTCATCCAAACAATCTGTAAATGTAGACATGCTGATGAATTTAACTGCAACACGGAATAGATGCAATTATTTACCATCGCATGCTGTATGGCAGTTAGTCCAATCATTGAAGCCAGTGAATTCTCAGCATCTGCACCCAAGAAAAATAAACCATTAAAATAAAACAATGTACTGATTCTTCATATGTACTTACATCTGTATAATAATAATAATAATAACAGCCAATAAATGATACCTTTACTCCCTGCTAATGTAAGCAAAAAAAATAGAGATGCTAGCAAGAGACTGTGATTGTCAGATAAAATAAGTGCCAGAATCCCACTCCTGAATCAGAAACAACCTCATGAAAAGCACAAAAATACTACATAACGCACACAATACTAATGCAATAGTAAAAAATTAATAAATAAACAAATTAGCCTACAGCGCACATCAGCTGGATATCAAACATAGCATAATAATCTTATATGCATTAGATGCCATATCAAATAAGCAGCTTAAGACGCTGCTGATCTTTTTCTTCTGGTACTGACAAGATAATAAGATATCAGTCAGCATGACTAAATTCAAAATTGCAATGAACTGAAAACATCTGACAATAACTACGCTGCCTGTGACAGTTATACTCTATGGAACAAGATACACAATTGAACAAGGTTGCAAATAAGTCATTTTTTACAAAAATTACAATATCTAGAAGATTTTTACTAGAGCAGAAAATTTGTGAACACCAACACAAGATCAAACACATACTATAAAGTATTGTCAGACTCTCCTCAAGTCCTCAGGTATACACAACAAACCGACTGGTGAAATTACAACCGATACACAATTTAATCCCTTGCAGAAAGGAAGAATGCAAAGTTCAACAATTAGAACTGGTCTCTGTCAACTCTCCTACAAAATGGATATTAAATAAAAGATAGAGCAATTTGCATAAATTTATACCTATACACAACTCTACTTGAGCATTCCAACCACAAGAAAAGCCAGATGCACGTTCCATGTTGGCCTATCAGACATTCATACATATCAACGTGTTCCCAAATATTGGCAACTCTGCCTGCACTCTTTATTGTTTTTCCTCTACCAACCAAATTGGTGATTCAACGTCTCCCTTTCAACAATAATACACATAATTGTGCATTTAACCATATAACAGACACATTATATGACCACCTCAAAAAAATATCTGAGATGTTCTCATTCATCTATAAGGACCTAATATTCAGCTAATTTGCATCAAATTCCAGTTCTTCTGTGGTATTTCACCCAGAATCCAAGATCCCATTTCTAGTTATAGCTACAAAACATATAACATTAAAACTACACGTAATGTTATAAGCGGAAAGTGACTGTTTCCTCAAGACATATATTTCCATTTGCATCATGAAAGAAGAACCTTCATTACATATATAATCTACCAACCTTTTCGGACATACATTATCATCCATGGAACAGTTAACAGAATGAGAATTGGATGATACGTTCTTGTTGGAAAGATGCTCATCAATGTTTTCTGCTCCCATCAGCTCAGAACCAGAGCAGACCAATTTTTCCACATCAGTCAAATGGTTGAAAGATGAATTTACTGTGATGCCTTCATTAGCATCTTTCTGACTAAACATAAATGGGTATAGAACAATTTCAATCACAGAGTTGATAATACTTTTTCCACCAACAACTTGAATAAGAAGAGAAACTATGTACAGAGAAGTGACGGCAGATAGATTTGAGACCTGAAACAAAAGAAAAATGTAAATTAAAGACTTCAATGCCTGAAATTTTCAATTCAAATGTCATTTAACATGCTAAAATTGAAACTTTCTCCAGGTCTCCTATGTCCTATGATGATGATTCAGTTTCCTAACAATTTCATAGGAACCAGGAGAAGGTCTGATGTCTGAGGAATAATCAGATCATACAATTAACACATTCCATTAGCTTAATTTTCATACTAAAAAGCAAGTTTCAATATGCTTCCTGAAAACCGCCAGCCTCCTATATCATAAAAGAAATGCAAGACGATATATATATATACATATCAATCATAAAGTATTCCAAACATTAAATCTCATTAAGTTAAAAAAAAGTCAACAAGTTGGGTTAAGAGGAATAATATCTCACATCATTCTGCCTCAGTTGAAGTAATGGAAGCAATATGGGGAATACAAACAAGTTTAGAAGATTCTGGGTAACCACTTCACTCAAACTAGATTCACCAACAGAGAGAATATCCTTAAAGTAGTATAGATCATCAACAATTTTATCAGTTTCCACAAGTAGTTCCTTTCTTCTTTGATCAGTGCAAGTATTCCTGCACCAAAGTCAAAAGAATTTTTCTTATATAGATAGTTCGCTTACCACTAAGCTCTATACAATTTATTAAATAACATAACCTTCTCTAAGATACAGAAAGAACAATACTCTGTAGCTAGGACAAGGCTATCTAAATGAATGCATTGCTGTTTCAAGCTATGAACCAAATCTGAGAAGTATTCCGATGCTGGAGGAGTTGAAACAAACTGATAAACCATTCTGTCACTAACTGCAAAATCAAAATAACTATGTTACAAGCTACAAATCCTCTTCTTTTATGTAGCAAAGTACTTTAGTCAACAATAAAATACCATTGTAAATGTTCAGAGTTAAAGCACGTACAGCTGTCTGAATCATCTTTTCCCCATGTTGAACAAATTTAAGAGCCTCAGTATACAGGGGAAAAGACACTACAGCATCCTGCAATCAGGGGAAACAAATGATACAGAGTTACTTGAGGCCACAGCCAAAATTCAGCATAGACACTTGCAAGACTGTAAGATGTGATCTTGAATCTTACAGATCCAGTATGTTTTCCTCCAATGAGTATATGTATGAATTCATATGTGTGCATGTATATGAATCTTTTACTATTCTAAGGAGGACCACTTGCAGCTTATAAACTATATATAACAAAGGCATACAAGTGTAGCACCCATGATACACCAGAACTAAACTGGATGGTGCAGCATTGTTTCTAATTGAACAGAAAACCAAACATCTTTTTCCCCTCCTAATTAAATCAATAGCAATAATGTTCTGCTTTTCTTTGCACCCACTGGATTGGCAGCATACAGGAGAATAGCCACCACACTGCCCCTCCCTTTATCCTCTTCACCCATTGCCTAGAAACAGACTTGGGACTTCAAACTCTTTGTATAATCAGTTAACTAATCAAACCAACTACATGTTGCAACAGTATAAGGCAAAAGTACTTAGAATAAAGGGACCCATATAGCTTTGAATAGAGAACAATATACAAGGCCCAGAAAGTTATCAATTATCAAACAACCAGAATTAGCAACTGTCTTGTGTAATTACAATAGACAAAGAATCGAGATTATAAATTTTGCAGTAGCAATTTAATTCAATCAACTTGTCTGATCCAATTTCATCAGTGTAAGCTTATTTACAATGTGATTATCAAAGGCCTCGACCTCCATTTTTCAGTATCAATTTAATCCAATAATCTCTTGTAATCCAACTTCATTAGTGTAAGCTTATTTATAATATAAATATCAAAGGCCTTAACTTCTACAACTTTGTTTTCTTAGTCATCATGAAACACGTGCCTTATAAACTATGACAGCATTAAACTATAAACCATAGTGTAAAGGAAAATGATAAATCAAATAAGGGGAGAAAATATGAGATGCATGAGTTCAACTTACCCCCTGAACCTTTACAAGAAGACAAAGCGTGTCACGATTTATTTTGTTGCTCACTGCTCTGATTTAAGATAAGAAAAATAGGGCGTTAACTTTATTCAGGAGAATCATATTGCCACTTCTGTCAATAAATTCAATCAAAAAGGAGGAGCAACATGGACGACAATGCAATTAGCAGATGAATTTGAACAAAGTTACAATTTTGGAGAAGCAATAACACAACCTTAAAAATGATATGTAATATGGAGCTAGATCTCCCCCATCAAATTTGTATTGATGTGTTATAATGCTGTTGATGTAGTCATTGCTCAAACAGTAGTCTGGGGTATAGAATTATCAAATGCATTACTATACTTTGTTGAAGAACAAGCATTGGAGTAACCATCAAAAAATTTATTTAGCACGCGAACTACACGTGGTATAATATTTAGTAATCAATACTTCGCAGCTTACAAATTGCATATTCACTATCCATGTTTTGGATCATTATACTAAGATACTGAAGTAATGGTGCCTCAATTCTTGAATTTCTGCTGATCTTTAGCACACGAACAAACTCTGCCAAAACTTGGTATTCCATAAAGCTCCTGCGGAAGTGGGAAATTAGATCTTCCAATACATTCAAAATATAAACAAACAAGCCAAACCAAAAAAGATGTTTCACGGGCATTTCATACTCAAAAATTAAAGGATCTTGTCGATCACCATATGTAACTATCTCTACGATGGACTGCAGAAGATCTATAACTAATTCCTGAAGTAGAAAGAAGAGGGATTCTTAGATGATTTAAAAAAAAAAAATCACAGACTACATCAACAAATCACATGAATTAGAAAGAGGTGACTTGAGTTACCCTGTTATGCTTATCCACAACTTGGATTTCCCTCAATTCATTAATCACATACCTGGGTCCACAAAAAGATTAATATCAATAACAATAATAATAATAATGTGGAATAAGGACGACAATAATATGCTACATATAACAATAGGAAGAAGTGTGTCCCCAGGAAAATAAATGGCAAAGCTATAGAAATGTTATAAAATAAGCAAATGAACTGTTAGTTTTGGGCTTTCTCTTCTCCTCCCCTCTCCCCTTCCTTCCTTCTTCTCCTCCTCTTCCTCTATCTTGTAAAAACCCAAACCAGCTCCACTTAACAAAGCATGAAAAATCAAAGAATTTTAGTTAACTTCAAAATTTTATCAAGGAAGATCCAATTAATTCTTTAACTCGTTTAGATATACTTTAAAGGTGCTTGCACTGTATCATTTATAACTTAATAGCATTCATGTAGAAATAGTGATGACACCAACTGAGAAACCAATGTCACTTGACACATCACCTCGCCTTGAAAATTCAACTTATATGAGAAATAAAATTGTGAAAAACTCAAAGTACGAACAGGATATCATAAGGCGCAATGCAAGCATCATCCTTCCATTAAAGACATAAAACTCAAGTGGAAATTTTACCAAACTTTAACAAGGAACTAAGCTTAACACGAACTGATTACTAATAGTAAAGAAAAAAAATAGTCAAATCTCAGTTGCTCCTCAACGAGAAAGTTAACGTAAATTGACAATTAAATCCTATTCCTATATAGAAACAAAACCTGCAAATTAATTTTTGATCCATAATTTCTAAACAAACCACACATTTCGCAATTGACCATATAAAATTTAAATTTGGTTTCCTTAAACAGATAAATTACAGCAAATAGAGAAAACAAGAGCTTATAAATTTTGTTCTAACGAGGAAAATTAGATGGAGCGTACTTGAAGTGCTGAAGAGAGAAGCGATCAATGGATCGCCACAGAGAACGCCACATGGTGACAGATCCGAGAAGCTGAAGAAAAATACGGCAGATCTATAAATATTTTGAGGTTGCGTGCAATTTATTTTTTCTTTTTTCTTTTTTCTTTTTTCTATCTCGAGTGCGTTTGGGTGTGAGAACTGGTTTTTTGTTTGTATGCGATGCGAGTTTCACGAAAACAATGCGGTCCGCGCGCAATGTTTGGCCGTTTGGTGGAGACAACGAACTTTCAACGTTTTTTTTTTTTTTTTTTTTTTTTTTTTTTTTTTTTTTTTTTTTTTTTTTATTTTTTCTTTTTTTCTTTTTTCTTTTTTCCTTATTCTGCGGAGTGCGTTTGGGTGTGAGAACTGGTTTTTTTGTTGTATTGCGATTGCGAGTTTCACGAAAACAATGCGGTCCGCGCGCAATGTTTGGCCGTTTGGCAGTGGAGACAACGAACTTTTTTTTTTTTTTTTTTTTTTTTTTTTTTTTTTTTTTTTTTTTTTCTGTTCTGACATTCGCGTTTGTCATTTCGGCCTTTGGGGCAAAGGATAACGTGCAGAGAGAGCAATGCATTGTGCCTGCATCATCTGTTTAACGGTATGGACGTTTGACGGTAGTCAAGGGCGGCACGACCACGTTTTCATTTGCATTTCGAGTTGCAATGCTAGGGAACATGACGATATAAATCATAAATTTATTTGTATTTAATAACTAATTCCAATTATGTATGTCTTCTCTCGTCTGAGAAGTTTTTCGTCTTGCTTGTTAGCAAGTCTTTTTTATTCCGAGAACGGAGGATTACAATATTTCCGTCGATATGGCTAATCTCTCCGTCAACGGCGATAGCCATGAGGGTATTGTTTTTAAGGCTGATGAGATTAGTAAAGAGGAGGAGGAGGAAACTAACCCTAATATTTGTTTGGTGGGTCGCTTTATATCAAACAGACCCATCAATTTTATGGCTATGGAATTGACATTAGCTTCATTAATGAAACTAGTCGTGGGGATGTTGATCAGGGAGTTAAAAGGGGGGAATCTACACCTTTCAGTTATACTGCAAAATTGATATGGAGAGAGCCCTTGATATGTGCCCGTGGTTGTTCAACAATCAAATTCTTATCATGGATAGCATGGAGGGGTTTACCCATCCATGAGGTACCGTTGAATGGATTGTATTTGTGGATTCACTTGTATGGTTTACGCCCTAGATACAAGTCAGATTATGTTTTAGAAAGGTTAGCGAATGGGATATTTGTGAAGACTGACCCTGAGAATTTCACAAAGAAGAGAGACTATCTTTGAGTTCATGTTAAATGGGATATTAATAACTCATTCGTGAAACATTGAAGTTGAGGAAGGAGGACAATTCGGACTGGTTTTGGGTCAACCTCGAATATGAACGAATTCCTGGATTTTGCTTTATTTGTGGTATAATAGGACATAGTGAGAAATTTTGTCTTTTTCCGGTGTTGATTGATGGTGCTCCAATGATTAGGAAGTTGGTCCCCATTTAAGAGCTAATCCACGACGTCCACAGTTATCAACATAGGCAAAATGGCTTCGTGATGAAGGCTATGTCGGACACGGCGGCGCTCATGGAAGTGGTTGTCGGAGCCCAGGGGTACGACGGCACAGTTTTGGAGAGCCCATGATGGGTGCGATGCAGCCTCCTAATTTTTCGAAACAAACCTCAAATTTGGGCGAGAATGTGGGAGTTGATAAGGAAGGACAGCCTCCTAATTTTTCGAAACAAACCTCAAATTTGGGCGAGAATGTGGGAGTTGATAAGGAAGGAGATAATGCAACGATTGTGAATGAGAAGTTGGACTCAAGTGTAGCAAATGGTATCTTATTGAATGATCCGAAGAGAAGAAGAATGGGCCAAAAGGAGGAGAGTACTAAGGCCCAAGATATCAATACAGAAAATGGGTCTACAAAGGACCTAAAAAATGGGTCTTTCAAGGATCCAAAAAACGGGAAAGCGGCGGGTTCCAGTACTCAAGCCCGCCGACAGAAATTAGTCTGTTAAGTTGGAACTACCGAGGGCTCAGCAACACCAAGGCAATTTAGAATTTGCAGCAGCTAGTTTGTGAAAAGCGTCCTAATTTTATTTTTCTTGTTGAGACAATTTGTAATTCAAATAAAGTTAATGAAATAAAGTCTTTATTAGACTATGATGATTTTTATTCAATTGATAGTAATGGTCATAGTGGCGGACAGGCTTTTTTATGGAAGGGGGTTAGCAGTGTAAATATATTGGGTTCTTCTCCTCATTTTATTGATGTGAAAGTTGATGTTCAGGGGTTGGAGCCTTGGCGTTTAACAGGCTTTTATGGGCAGGCTAATAGAAATAGAAGGCATGAGACTTATGAGTTGTTTGGTGACCTTGCTTTGGTTTCTACTCTCCCATGGGTTTGCATTTGGGACTTTAATGATATCCTGTATAATTCTGAGAAGAGAGGTGGTCTTCCACAGTTGGCAAATTTACTCCATGGGTTCCAAAATGCTATTATGAGAACTGGTCTCTTAGACTTGAAGTTAGACGGGTACCAGTTCACTTGGGCCAATGGTCGGGTAGGGGCTGATCATGTGGAAGCTAAGCTTGACTGATGTTTCATTTCTAAGGGATGGAGGAATTTTTTCCATATGTCGAAAGGGATGGTCCTTGACTTAACTACTTTTGACCATTTACCTTTATTTATCCAAGTTCAAGTTTATGTTCCCAGCCAGAGAGTGCATTTGTTTCGTTATCAAAACCATTGGTTTAGGGAGCTAGAATGTCGTCAAGTGGTCGAGGATTTTTGGAGGCTCCATGGGGATGCTAATCTAATTGAGAAACTTACGGTTTGTAGTATATCTCTTGATGAGTGGGGGCAGAATTATCGACGCAATTTTAAAGTGGAGTTGGATGAGTGCAGACAAAAATTGAAGCAATTAAGAGGTAGGAGATCACAGTCAGATCGTCGAAATTTTCTACATGTAACATCCCTTCCCCGTCCACCCAATAACCCAAATGAACCGAGCCGAGACGCTATAATCTGGTTGAACTTATGTCCTGTCATGCTGAAACTTATGTCTGTCATGCTGATATATTCCTGTATGCTTAAATTATAATACAAAACACTCCCAATTTAAACTCCAAACTTCCCAACATCTCCAAATAATCATTATAACCACAAATAACACTAACACTTTATATATCTTTTCATAATTGTAATAATCCTCAATAGCATTTAATATCCAGCAATTAATTGCATTCATTATATATATCAAGTCTTCATGAACTAATCATATCAACTATGTTATAATATTTCATATTCACTCATTTCATCAGTAGTATTCTTATCTCCAAATACTGACGCCAAAATAATTACATGCTTTAATTATATTTCCAAGTACATAAGCTCTAAAGAAAAGTGTAATAATTATACATGGCATAATTCTTAGTTTTACAACTCTCAATCTACTATTATCAAATTAGTCACTTCTGCTTTGATAGTACTCTTCAAGTCTTCAAGTAGCAACCACGATCTTCAACCTACGCGTGATAAAAATCGACTAAAAAATCGACGCGCTGAGTATAAAACTCTAGTGGTGCTCATAATTCACATACTTAACAAAGTTGCGATGGCACTTACTTAATACAAATTTTCATAAAATCATTGATAATCTTAGAAGCATTAAAGTTCAACATAAATGTATCTTTATAGTGAAGAATAAACTTCATTAAATTCATAACCATAAATAATTGAGTTCTAATTTATCTCATTAACTCCTTTACATGAACATTAATCACACATATCATGATACTATTTATGATCTTAACCTCCTGTCATATTGCTGTATGGAATAAATCAATAAACATGTAAGAACACATTAACAGGTATATTTTCATTGTCTACTTGACCTGTTCATTATGTTGTATTGACATTATGCACTTTTTAGTCACATCATATAAGTTATGATTAATAAAAATCTTCCATAACTGTATGGCTCCATAAAGAACTTAAATAAATAAACTAGTAAGCACACATAACATTAATTATATGATCGTTACCTGATGTTCCTTATGCTGTATGAATTTTGTAACTTTTATTACAACTCAGTGAATATCGCAACGAATAAAGAAACAAAGTAGCACAATAATATGTATAAATAAACATGTAATCAACATATGGGAATATGTAAAGCACACATATCATGATACTTTCATACCGTACTTGCTGCTCATTTATACTGTATGATTATGCCAAATTTGTAGTTCAATATTAATTGTATAGGCTCCATAAGGTTATAGTGAAACCAAAAGTGATAAGAAGAATTGTTATGAAACTGGGATGAATACTGTATTGACTGGGCTGCTATGGCCATTATATAATCATATCCACTCAATGCCTTGCTAGCTGGAGTACCCAAACTGGTTATGGGGCGCAATCTGCACTCAACGGCCTGTAGCCGGAGTAACAAACTGTATGAGGCGCAGATCTGCTATCCTATGTCGCGACATGGTCTTATCTACATGGTTTCTACCTAACCCCCATGGAGCATAATGTTGGTATGTCACAAGTATAACACAACATCATAGTAATAGTTCATCACTTCATAAATCATCATGTTCATATGATTTCACATCATTTGTTTATACATGTGTTCATGTTGTCTTTTTATTTTAAAATGATTGGAGGCATGCAAGTTGAGCAAAGGAATACAATTGCATAGAAAAAGAGGTCCAAAAGAGCATAAAAACACAAGTCGCAAGCGCGCCTTGAAAAGTCACGAGCGCGAGAAGCACATATGAGGGTCAGTGAGTTTACAGGTGAGATTCGCAAGCGTACAATGAAATTTGCAAGCGCGAGAAGCACAAAATGAGAGTCAGAGAGTTTACAGGCACAATTCGCTAGCGCGCCATGAAATTCGCGAGCACGCGTCGTGTTTTCCAGCCTACGCAGTCTGTACTATTTTGGTCATATCTCTCAATTTATAACTCTGATTTGTGTGATTCAAAAACCCATTGAAATCTAACACATAGAGGAACAAATAACTCTTCAAAAACCCATGTAAAGCTAACACATAGAGGAACAAATAACTCTTCTATGAAACTTCCTAATTCCATCACTAAATGAGGACAAAATCAAGATAAAGTTCCTGGAAAAATTCCAGCAAAACCTGTTTCAACAAAAACTCAATATTTACTTCATTTATTCAATACCTCCCCTGTTTTCCCCTGTTCCTCACCATTACCAGTCCTCCCACTCAACATGAAGTAATATAT